GCTGTTGTTTCTCATGTGGATATGGTGTGCTACCAAACAGCTGTTTTATTTTGATGTTGCAATTTTGTAACAAAGGTATTATTGCACTCTTGCAATTTTAGTATAGCATTCTTGCATATCGTGCATTTTACAATGACTTTGCAGACCAGGTGAGTACCACTAATCCTCTTTCATTGTTAATTTTAGTTTGGAATATAGCCAAAAGCCACATGGAGCTAAATTAAGTAAATATGATGGATAATAGATAAAAATTATAGATAAAATCATTAATTCACATTATTATTATTTATTTAAGTAATAGGCTATTAAGGCACCCCGACCTAAAAGATCTATTGTGCGCCTAAAGGCCCAACTAGGACAATTTTCGACTATTTATAAATCTTGTAATTGCTGTGGGCTTAATTTTACCTATTTGATTTGGGAGTAAGATCCCGCTTCCAAGGTAATCGAGTCTACGTCTTGCCACCGCTGGGCAGTCGCATAGAACATGTTCTGATGTTTTCTTCAGGACAGGTCAGAGTCGACAGGAGTCATTTTCTATTAATTCACATAATGTGATAGCTTTGTGTGATGATAAATTATCGTGTAACAAAAACCAATGTATGTCTGTAGAAATTCCGGTCGAACTGATTAAATTCTGGATCATATTCTTTAAGAAACTTCCATATAATATTTTGCATTTATAAAATCTGTAATGATTTCACTGTAAAAGATTCTCTGTAAGTCGAAAGAAATGATCATTAATGGCTTAATTTTGACCTTCTGGGAGCATAATTTACTCTTTTTTGAGTTTTGTATTGTCTTCTATGCGACACCCTTACGTTCTGTTAACGACTTGTATTGAAAATAATACGTTCTATCAGCTCATACAATAAATAACACAATTGACTATAACTAGATTCCTTCAGGATATTTTTATCATATTTTTGCAATATCCCCTTACAAGATAATGATTAGCATATTACCGAGATAAGGAATACCTGTCATAAAAGGCAATTAAAATACATTAGGTACTACCCTGTATTGTATTGGAATATAACTTGTAGTAGGTGGCTTTTCACTTGTTACACCGCACCAATAATGTTACTGCGGTACTAGCAACTTTGGTTGTCCTAGACACGGGGTTTGTTTAGTAATAGAGTTTCGTGTTAACTGTGATTCATAACTAAAGTTGTCCAGGAAGAGTGTTAGCATTTACATTTTCATTCAATTTGGGGTTCAATTTTTCAAACTGGCGCAAAGGATAGTAGAGCTTAAGATTGAACTCGTAACTATATATCCAAATATATGACTTTAATTGTTACCGGGAGAATCTTTTTGCAAGGTGGAATTTGTTAGCACAATATTGACCTAAGATCATTCATTAATTATGTTGAGAATTTTTATCTCAAATTTTTCAAGTCTATAATATTGTCGTGGAGGCAAAACACAAGAAATTTAAATTAAACTTATTCTTAAGTGTAGTGAACTATAGTGACATTGTACAGCACTATTCAAAAAGACGTGATCAAAAATATAAGCCTTGAACAATACGCGGTTGACATTTCAAATTTGTCACAGCGGAAGTATAGATATGTACTATACGGTTACTAAGTAAGATAGCCTGTTTGCAGAGTAGCAAAACAAGCTGTTTCCGGAATGTTCAGCGATGAAAGAAGAGTAAGTCTTAATAACAAAAGTGGCTTAATTTTGTTTTGATAGATCCATCATGTTACAAATCTTTTATCAACAGACAAAATTTCATTTATCAGTGAACAAATATTATTAATATATTAAATGCATATTAACTTGTTAGCGTATGAATTATATGAACTTAACTCATTTCAATATTTAACTGAAATAGTAAACATAAACAAGCGTTGGTGAGTTTTTTCCGTCTTTAAGATATAATTATATTTTAAACAAACATTATACATAATATATGTAGTCAAACATTTCATAAAAAAAATCTTTTGATAAGTGATTTTTTTATGCCTCTTAAGACACATTATAGCGCATTGCATGATTTTATGATTGCAATAATAAAATGTTAAAGTGCATTATTTGCTTTAGTTTTCATCCCATTTTATACAATAAAATATAGAAAACAACACATCTGCAGACTTTTCTTGTATCAAATGCATCACTTTATGCACAAATAATACTTTCAAATTTGATTTAAATGAAATATCCTTGATGTACTAGATACACAGTTAGAGCATGTCATTATGTATGAAATGGTAAAAAATAATATCAGAATATAAAATTTAATGGAAATGCACTCAACAAAGCATACCATATACATATGTAGAGAGTATGAGTACGTAAAACATTTTTTCATAGTGTATTTTTCCACAGTACGGATATGCATTATAAACTTGTCTCTTACGTATATATACATATATAAGAGACGGTTATTAGGGAAGCAGGAAATACTATTTCCTTAAGACAGGCATTCTCTATTTAAAAGCTGCATTCGAGAATGTAAACTATTTTCGAGCTAAAAAAAAATATGAAAAAATGTTTTATATACACACACACCGATATACTTGAATAAAATATCTACAATTCATAAATACATTGTAAATTATAATTAATAATTAAATAATTACTTATAAAAACTGCTTATGAAATTAATTGAATGCACTTTGTATTAGTACATAGCAGTCGTGAGTCAGTTAATCTAAATGCTTGCAGGTGGTTTTAGATAATTTCCTAGTAACTGATTTAATATTGCAAATAATTTATATTTAATTAGATTCTGTGCTGTACTTTAATTACTTTCACAGAGTTTAATGTTCAAAACAGAAATTTAGCAAAAAATTCATTAAAAATTTTTTAATACCTCTTATTTGTTATTTTTCCCATCTACTCATCGTACACACTATGTCAATGCCAGCTCTTATCATTAGTTTGTTGGACATTACAGTAACTCTCATAGAAGTCATTATGTGGTTTTGAAATCTGATAATTGTATGATCAATAAAATATTTAATTAAATTTAATTATACCGTTGACCGTGCAACATTCTGCCAATGGCGACGCTGCTAGCCGCATAAATTAAGGCCCATTTAAGCATTTCAACATTAGTTACTAGACTATTTTAGATTTGACTATATTTAAGTTAAGACACTGAGAGTTGCCGTAGATGTATAAACAACAAAATTTATTTTTTAATTAATGAAATTTTAAGCTAAAACTTTATTTGTACATATACTTTTTTTAATTAGTATGTATAGTAAAGCACTGCTGATAAAAATATTTATTGTATATTTAAATAATAATTTTAGAATACATTATTGCATTAAAAAATTCTACGGCATCTATACTTTCTAGCTTAATAAGCTCTCGGAGCGCCATCTATTCGTTAATGATAAAACTAATACATCGACTTCACTTAATACTATTTCTTTCACAAGAATATAACCAAAACTTCATTTTGATACTGGAATGTTTTATTTTTTAAGCTATTTGAATTTGGCATACTAGTGTATTTTTCAACAATAGACAAAAATTGCTATCTGCTCCGTTTGCTCCTTCAAAATGAATGCTTTGTAAGAGGGATAATTCTTTAAAAAATGGTTAAACAGGCATTAAGACCGATCTATGTCAAGGACATCCAAAAACGATATGAACACTAAAAATTATCGTGTCAGCATTTGATAAGGTTATGGAAAATTGTCGAGTGACTGTTAAGGATTTTGCAGAAGCTTTAGGTATTCATTAGACCTAATTGTAATATTTTGTATCGTCTTTAATTTTGAAAAACTATGTCACAATTCAATTTCAACTATATCACCAACATCTGCGGCGTTTCGAAGGGGATACAAACGTTTTTGCAACACATGTCATTACTATGAATGTGACTTGAGGCTATTACCCACTTAAGAAGTGGTGTGAACTCGGGTCCAAAGTGAAGAGCCGGTTTATGTTAGAGTCAGTTTTTTGAAACGCAGAAAGAGAAATTTTTAAATAAGTTTTATATATTATATCAGAGTCAAGTACCAAAGTACGATAAAATAAAACCACAGGGATGGTTGTATAAATTATTTTGAGCATTGATGAAGTTGCTGGTACGACGGTTTGATGTCCTTTATAATAGCTTGGCATACGACACGACGAACGAGAGTAGCGATAATGAAACAAAACTATACTTCAATGATAGATTCAAAATAACTTTAAATTAATCACACAGATACCGATCTGTTGAAAAAAAGGTATATTTCGAGACAATCAATTTGAAATATGTTTTAAATTTGTAATAAGTAACATATTGCAACATAAAGGGTGCAATTTTTAACGTTACTTGTAGACAGTAGATTAAATATCAAGTATATTTAGATAGGAAAACTTCCGAAAAAACACAAGAGACAAGCACCTACATTTTATGTACTGTACTACTTCTACACTACATTGTAAGAAACTATCAGCAGTAATCCGATAAACCGGTTTTAAAAACCAGCTGTAATGAGCCGGATCTTTTAGTGTAATTCTACTAAACCACGAATCGAACTTTTAGCTTTAGTAATTCTGAACCTAAGCCGAATATTGGATGAAATATTTTTTGAGCCGAACAATGTTTTAAAATATCTAACCACTGAACCGAATTACTTTAAAATTTTATACAATTCACAACCCTGCTTAGTTATAGCAAATATGATAACAGTGTATGCCTTACCATACCCGCTACACTTTCAAGTCTAATATTACACTTTTTTTATTTTCTTTCTCTTTGTTGGATATTAAAATTACTAAGAGATGATGATACTTAATTGTAAAGATCTTTCTTTATCTATTTTATTCTTTCTTTTAATATTATTGACTGCAATATGATTGGCAAACTCAACATTTTTTTCTTGAAAATTTCTACCAAATTTTTTTTAAATATTAGTTTTTCATATTTTTTTTTTTAATTTTCAATGTTATAACACCCACAGTTTTTTCCACAATCAAACTTTTGCAAAGCATAATGTATCACCCTGTATATAATAGTGCATGTAAATAAAAAAATGTAATTATAGTTACATATATATATTTTTAGAATAATTTAACAATTGTTATTTAATTTTCAACAAAAATATTTCGTAATCCGTTCTGCGTCAGCTACCTACGCCCACATGCGATTGATCTATCTCCATGGCATTTTGATCGGCGAACGAGAACGCCTCTGCAGTGGTACAATAACTCGTTGTTGTTGGTGTTGTTGTGATGTCTGTTGCAATGGTTGGTAATGTCTTAAATAGCTGCCAGCGGTACGATTTACTGCTGTCGTACGTGTCTGTGGTAGCGCTTGAGTTTGCGAGATCTTAGCAGCGCTACCAAATGCGCAGGTGCCACTGTAATGCGCACTATTTACCATTGTTTGCGGTAAATGTGTATCTCCAAAGTAGGTGGTATGTTTTGGTTTATGTGAAAATTGCACTGGACTAGGCTTCTGTGTTTTATGCACTGCTTGCAGCGTCGGTGTTAAATGGCTTTTATGCAGTTCATAGTTTCCAACTGCGGTGGAGCTGATGTGCGGCATATAACGTGTTGTTGTGGCGCTTGTATAAAGTTTCGGCGCTGCTGTTGTTGTTGTTGTTGCTGCTGCTGTTGTACCGCCAAGCTGTATACGTGTTGACAATGCACCGTTACGTGTAGTATGCGGGGAGTATTGTCTTGAAGTATTAGCATCGTTACGCATTTGCACCAGCGTTTGAAATCGTCCAGAGCTATGGGTCACATTTGAATTTCGACTGGGCGAAACTGTTTGCGGTTTAAGCCAAGTTTTTAAAGGTGCATTTTTGTGGCTTATGTGGCTAATATTTGTTGTTGTTGTCATTGGAGTAGGCGTTGTTATAACATTTTTGTGCTGTTGTTTATATTGTGTTGTATTATATTGCGACGGCATGGGTTTGGCTACCCCAACTGGTACAATTCGTCCAGGCATATTTGGTGCTATAGAATTTTTTATTTCAATACGTATTGAAGGTGCAGTTGTTGTTGTTGTAGTCGTTGTTGTTGTTGGAACTTTTTCATTGTTACGCTCAACACGGAATGTTTCATTTCTTTTTACAGGTGAACGTGTGCTAGAGCGGGATGCATGTTGCGTTCTGCGATCGCGTACTGGTGAACGTGATTGTGGACGATAGTTTTCATTTTCAAACTCAAAAAAGTCAGGACGATTTTCTTTTGATTCACGTCTTTGTTTAACTGAATCGTCGGCCTTATCAGTTTTATTTACTGTCGGTGCAGGTGATTCAACTTTAACAAACCAGGCGGGATTATATGGAGCGTCCTTTTGTTGTTGCAAAAATTTATCCCGAAATGATTTACGAAAAGTATTTAAAGTGACAGTTTTGTATTTATCACTTTCATTTTCCTCAGTTTCATCTAAGTCTGTACTTGTCTGTGTTTTCAACTGCTCCAATTGTTCTTTTAAATGTAATGGCATTTTACTCTTTCTATAAGTGGACGAATCGAAGGTGCTATTATTGTTATTGCTATTATTACTCCTTTGCACGGCCGGTTCTATGTTGCCATTTTGTAGAGACTTAAGACTTGATTGTTGCTCATAGAGAAAATTAAATGGATCTGTTAGGGAATCATAATCTATATTCGAGCTTCCTTCAGTTTTCCATTTGTAGTAAGTATTTGTAGCATTGTCACTGGGATGATGTTCCATGCTCGTTTGTTCTGGAGTTGGCGTTTTCTTACGTTTCGTAAATGTACTGAATTTACTTAAAACTTTTGATTTTTTCGATTTTTTTTCTAAAGTCGATGTGTTTGAGTGATTTTTATCTTCCTGATCGGAATTTAATATGAACGTATCACTGCGATTTAGTATGGATTCTGCGCGAGAATCTATCGAGTCTCTACGTTCAGTTACACTACTAATAACACTGCCGGGCCGTGAGTTACGCACTGGCGAAGTGTCACGCGACGAACTTTTGCTACGCGTTATTGTCGAACGTATATTGCGAAAGAATGACATTATAATTTCTTAATTTCTATTGCACAATCACTATTCTTCAAGCACGTTTTTAATTACGTATACGAAGTACACAGCTAATTTCGTTTAAAAATTTAAATTATTATAATTTATGTATATTTAATTTTTTCTTAGAGGCGAGGCGAGGCGATGCACGTTCGTTTCAATTTTTTATTTTCGAGTTGTAGACAAAAATCGGGGAACACTAGTACTTTAAGATTTTGAACTTTTTTTATTTTATTATTTATTATTATTTAAAACAATTCAAGCGTACAAAGCAAAATCAAAGTGTTTAGCCGTTGACTGCTCTCAAGCAACTAAACTTACTTAGCAAAACTTGAACTTAATTACTTTAGAAAATATCCCACAAAAGGCCTTAAGCGTTGCTAGCTTTGAGAGCACAGTTTTTGTATCTTTTGCTCGATTATTGCTGATTTCATTTTTATTTTGATTTGCACTTTTTCATTATGGCCAAGTGTTACTCAGTTGTAGCTTGTTTTGACCATTTTTGAGTGCTTAACTTCATTATCACAATTATAGTGTGCCACCAAGTATGAGCAAAAAGATACGAAAGTTTGTTTTAGCACTGCTACTAATGGAGATGCTGTCTGTGGAGGCGTTCTTCTATTCTCGTTTTGCATTAATGGGCAGTTGTCGCTCTAAATGTTAAGACGTTTCAGATATGTGACACTTTTTATTCTTATTTTATTTAAATCTGTTTTATTTTCCATCTTAACTTAAATAGTTACAAGTTACAGTTGAAAACAGTGTGATTTCCACGTAAAAGTCGGTATTCATAGCATTTTGTTAACTCATTTCAGTTCAATTGTGTTGACTTAACAATAGTTAAGACGCTCTAATTCACCACAAAAGATCACATTACTGGGTAAGCTGCTTTTGAACAGGTATTAGAAGAGCTCCATGCGTTGAGATGAATGAATGACAATATTAACCATCAACTTAACACACAATTCCATGTTTATTGTGATTTATTATTATCATTATTATTATTATTAAATTTTAAAAGAAACGACAAGACAATTTTGTTAACAAAATTTTGTTTCTGCTCTTTTTCATGTTTTTAATTTATTTGATTAACAATTTTTTTTTTTGTATCTTAAGTTTTTCATTTATTTTTATAGGAAATTTTTGCAAAAAAAAAAAACAGCGAACATCAATTTTGTATTATATATTAATTTATTGTTTAAAGTATTTTGTTTTATTTAATTATCACTATTTATATTTTTTTTTTTTTTTAGTATAATTTTTTTAATAATTATAAATTACGTTTTAATAAATAAAGTATTTATTTGTATATTTTATTAACAACTTCCGATATCGTCAAATACTATTTTTGGCTCTAATTCATTCACTAACACTTTGTTTCAAAAAAGGTGTTGAAAATCTTTACAATTGTCTCTTCACCATTTTTGTAATAAATTATTCAGCAAATTTTATTTATTTTAAAAACAAAAATTAACAATAATTGAGTTTTAAACAAACGTTTTACATTGAACTCTTTTAAAAAATAAGTATGAGAAGTATTACTGATGCTTTGGTTCCGTATGCATTACTTTTCGATCACGATAAAAAAGTGAATGATAGTATATTATAAAGCAAAAAAAATTTAAATGGGCGTTATTCCTTTTAATTATAAACAATAAATATATTAATTACAAAAAACCATTTCAAAAAAATATAAAAAAATTTGTACAATAAGTTCAACACTGTAGATGCACACAATTGAGAACCACTTTGTATTGCAGATAGTTAAAATTTCCGAAATATTATAAATCTAATAAATGTTTTATAATAAATGTTTATTAGAAAAAGTACAAAATTTATACAAAAATATTATTTTTATTAAAAAATTTTTTTTATACATTTGCAATAAATCTTTAATTCGCATATGGTTTGTTGTTTGAAATTAATTTTTAAAAGAAACTATGTCACTACGAATCTCCGAAAGATTGGTCATCTACTACTTTTGTACCATTTCATTGCATTATTAATGTTTTAATAGACGCAAAAGAAGAAAAAACAAATACATATTGTACATATACTGTCGATCAACAACTTATGTTAAAGAATGAGAGAAAGAAAGAAAACTTTCTAAGATTAAAACCAGAAGCATTAAAAAAAGCATTCAATATATTACACATTCCGGTTTTAATTTTTAGGGGTTCTAATATCTAAGAGTTCTAATTTGTGATACTCTACTTCATTTATTTTTAGAAGTCTATACAGGTTATACCATGGGATGTGAATTTTAGTTTCTAAGTAACACTATTAGTAGATGTCAGATGCTGGCCGACAGAAGTGGGTTTTAATACCACATAAAATGTTTAAAGCATGGTTGCCATCAGTAAACAATTTTAAATTGAGATATATTTATGCTGGACCGGGAAACCATTGAGTAATTTTAATAAAAACCTCAAACTTTTTATACATACATACATTTCGGATGTCAGATAAACAGTTAAGGAAGTTGAACCTTATAGTACAGCTTTTTATATAGTATATCCTTATTAATATAGTGCTCAGCGACGAAAATGTGAGCAAAAATATAAGCCATATCACGATATTCGGGTAATGACCTTTTTGCTTTTTTAAAATGATCTATTAATGCCAACATTTGAAAATTTGAGTACAGTTCAACAACAAAAAACCTAATATCTGGAAGCAGATTCTCCAACACTACCATAGTAGATAGATGCCATATTGTTAGTGTTAGGAAATCACAAAACAGATGAGCAATATTATGTTTTTCCTTCCCTGACTCATAATTTCGAAAGTAATCCTGGTAAGAAGTGCCTACAGAAGCATATATAACTTTATTTATAACACCAAGACATTCTGGTATTTATGATTTTGCTTTCGGTTAGGAAGAGGATATTAGGCCAAAGTTTTTGTCCGAACCGCACATAAACTCGTTTACAAAACATATTCTGGTCTATATTAATATTATATATTAATCGAAGTCTAAATTTTTATACATGATATAATAAAATACAATATTGAAGGATATATATTACCTAATGTCGTGTTTAAAACATCTTAGTGCCATGTTATGCATACAACCATATGATTAATAGTCACAGCAATTTTATGTTCTTTATGAAGGCATGTTTTACAGAGACTCATATCACAATTTTGAATTTTCCACCTTTATTACTATATTGATACGTGTTTTTTTCACACAATATTCACAAATACATAATATTTCCAATATTTGAAAAATATGATTCAAAATATAAAATGTTAAACTGTATGGAGACTAGAACATGTTTTGTAGACGTGCTTATGTCCGGTGTGGACAAAAACTATCCTTATATCCCCTTCCTTACCGAGAACACAGTCTGAGAAATCATGATGACCAGAATGTCTTTATATACTCATTAATATTTATCTCTTTTATTTTAAATAGACAAAAACTTTTTTCTCAACATTATCCAACCACACTAAGAGTCAAAAATAATACGGCTAGATGACTATGGGATAGAAGACATTTTGGCTGTAGACAGACCTAATCTGGCTGAAAACGTAATGTTAAATAATATATTCTATTAGGTAATCTGTCAGCAAATTCAATTCTATTCCACTAAGTATATGTGTGTCTGCATAGTCCAAAGAAGAAACGTGGTGTTAAGATATCCGTGTATTGGAAAAAATTGTTTATAATATTAAAAGTTTCCTATTGTCAAATTGCTAACGATTTCGGTACAAGTTATTTTAAAAGAAACCTTATTCTATTACTGTTTTTGAAAGTAATAGAATATTACAATGATCTTAAGTTTTTCTACAATATTTTTATATACATAATTATGTATATAGAATTACATATTATAATTGCATTGAATGCCTTAAACATTATTATTTGTTTATGTATTTGATTTGCTCAATGGATCGTATATCAGACTTTAAATTAAATTTCTACGAATTTATTACTAAATAAAATACCCCAAAAAACGTAATAACTTCTGTCTATACCAGTTGGATTAAGAAATTTTTTTCATTTTTGTGGTTTTGGAAATTAATATTTCTTACATTTTTTGCTTTTGATTTGACGCCACTGCATTTGCTGATAACTTTTGTAGCAAAAAAAATGGTGACCGCAAAATGTGACTGAATAAAAATTTAAACACACAAATATTTCTTTTTAAATACAATATAATGCAGTATTATTAGTTTTTAGTCGAATATGTAACATAAAACACTTTATATGAGTATATTGTGTACATAAAATAAATGTAGTATACTTTTAAGCTCACTGTATAATGTAATAAAATTACAACCAAAGATATGTGCATATTTATTTTTCAATTTATATCAATGCATGTATTTTTGTATGTATATCATATATATAATTATAATAATAATATTAATAATATTAGTGATATTAATAATAGTAATATTAATAATAATAGTAATATTAATAATAATAGTAATATTAATAGTAATAGTAATAATAATAATAACTGTTATAAGATATTCTTCTATATATGTACATATTATAAGTAATAAATTTTAATTTATAATATTAATATACATATACATATATACAACATGTTTATTGTATATATTAATATATGGTGTAATATATGTTATATGTCGTACGTATATGTTTTATACGTATGAAATTTTTAGATTGAAACTATGTTAGAGTTTCCTCTCATTACTATTAACTTCATATTAATAATATCACAGTTTAATGACGATACATATGAACATCAAAGGGTAGTTCCATTGAATTTAGTTTGTAATAATCTCGCTTTCATAGTTCACACCCGATCTTAGTTTCTCAATTTGTTGGGTTTTTCTACTCCTATGACAACTGAGATCAAATCAAAGCGTTTATTCATTCTCTTCTCTTCTATTCATTTAACCGAATGATTATCATATAATATTGATTCTAGATTTATGCATTTAAATATATTTTACTTCATTTATTCTCACTAAATAAGATCCAAAAACTTAATTGATACAAAATATAAACGGATATAAATATTACATTTCACTTATTGTTTTTATTATAATCCAGAGAATTTTTTTAGCGTCGTCTACAATTTTTTGAAATTTTTTAACTGTTACTTTACTTATTAATACTCATATTCACATACAGACAGTAACAGTATTGTTTAGCATGTGTATCTGAAGGCTTAAAACCATGGTGCTCTACAAACACATGTATCAAGAAAATGCACAAATAAATTGTAAGCCCCATTGTATATTTTAATGAATTTTCGCCGGTTCCAAATGAAGTTATCTGTTTTGGACATAACTTTTTTCATAGTAAGGAGCGTGGCCTACCAATATCTCTGCTGATCT